TGCTGATATTTTCAATAAACTCAGGTATCTAGATCAAGTTCTGTGCCTCCAAATACAAGGGATTCACTATATCAGGGGCTTCCACCCAGCATCAAGTCAGCTCTGCGCTCTAAACTGCACTCATTTCAGCTCAAGGAAGAGGTGCTACATTTTATGTTCCTTATGGCAGATTTTTATCTTATTTGATGGTCTTCTATTTTTAGTTTGGTTTTCAAATGGCTGCAAATCCAGTCTCCTCTGCCTGACATGATTGCTTCTATCCACCAGAAATAGCTGTTACCTTTTAATACATTGGCTTTGCAGCTTACTGTCCCACAAATCAAAGCTGAAATGGAGAAAACTTTGCAGTGGCTTGTTCCTATTGCCACCAACACAACCAAGTTAGTAAATTGCTATTTCTTACATTTTCTATGTCACAATTCCATCCTTAATATTCCTCTAATTAAATGGAACTAATCTTTGGAACTGTTGAGGTTGCAATTTGCAAGTTGCGCTTGCCACTTTCTTGAGAAGTACCATTGTCCAATTCTTTTGTACCAGTTACTAATCTTTTTGTTTCTGTAATGTGTTCCAACCAGAGCGCATCATGGGTTTGGCTGGGTTGGAGAATGGGCAAATACAGGGTGAGTTTCAACTAGGAGCTATTCTTCTATTCTGAAAATTTCCCTCTTTGTTCTCAATATTCTTGCTAAAGTTTTGTGCGTTGAATTTTCCAGGTCTGAACTGAATCGAAAACCTGCAGGCCAGACTGACTTGCTTAGAATAGAGACCTTACACCATGCAGATAAGGAAAAAACTGAAGCTTATATTTTAGATCTTGTAGTATGGCTTCACCATCTTATTAGCCAAGCACGGGCTTGCAATGGTGGAATCAAATCTCCTGGTAAATCACCAATCCGGTCTCCCAATCAGAAAATGGTTCACTTATCTACACAGAAGCCCTCATCCCCAGTGTTAACAGTCGAAGATCAAGAGATGCTTCGGGACGTCAGCAAGAGGAAAAAGACACCTGGTATTAGCAAGAGTCAGGAATTTGACACAACAAAAACTCGGTTAAGCAAGCACCATAGGCTGAGTAAGAGCAGTAGCCACTCACCAACAAGTGAAACGAAGAAGGATCCCTTCCCTATTAGAAGACCATCCTCGGTCCCCATCATCAACTTCGACATTGACAGGATCAAAGCATTGGATGTCATTGATCGAGTCGACATGCTTTGGAGCTTATAGGGTTGCATCAAGCATTGGATGTCATTGATCTGTAGGTAAAAGGGTTTGTGGTCTGGTTCGAAAGAAGTTCATCTGCTGCATCTTTTCCATGTCTGGTGCTATATACTTAATACTGGTTTGTTTGCAGAGCGGATGATTTTGCAGGGTTACCAAGCAGATGAGGAGTGACACACCATTGTGTCTGTGAGAAAATGCAAGGTGAAGAAGTGTTTTTAAAGGGAATTTAATTGTTTTAGGATTAAAGTGGATGGAAGGCCATGGCAAGGCTATCGTTTTTCCACCTCTGTGTTTTTTTGTTCCTGTACAGAATACTCATCGTTTCATAATAATTCAAAATTCCGTTCCATGCCTTTCTTTTTTTCATTTTTGTGGTTAATAAACTAAGCAGTAAATTCTTTCCAAAAAAAAGAAACTAAGCATTAAATTTAGCCTCTTAATTCAAGCGTCTTTGTCCATTACATGCTCATGCAACAACTGATTCAACTTCTTTAGCATCAGCAGCCTTATTTCTTCCTCTTCATCATGCACAAATTCTATACCTGGCACCAAACTCTGACCTTTGGGAAGTGGGAAGTCGTTTTCAATTTTTTTATTAACACAGAATCAAGTTACTTAAGATTTTTTTTTTTTAATTATATAGTGCGTTTAAATATATATGTTTGGTAATTTTTTTTTAGATGTTTTTTAAGTTATAAAAAATTATAGTAAATTTATAATAATTTTATATATAAAATTAGTAGTT